AACAATGCAAATATGGGTAATGTGAGGTAAAATCACAGAGCTGTCACCGCATTGCCAGTAATCTACTGTGGAGTGATTTAAAACTATCATTAGTCACCAATGGAGTAGTGTGTTACAGACTGCCAAAGGTATTGCTTCAACTGAAGCATTACCTGTCATCAAGAAAGCAGGATAGACTGAGGTTAGTGTTGAGACCTCTTGGATAAACAGTATCCAAGGTATAAATCGCTTCTCGTCTGAGAAGTTGTTTGGCTCTATCCCCCCTTAGGGTGTTTGGTCAGGTGCTCAATTACTATCCCCCTGAGTTTGTGAGTCTGGTGTTGCAGATGTACAAAATGTAGTGCCCCAGGTTTATTCACGTCAATGGCCTCTCCTTGGTGATAGCGACACGTATTTACAAAACATTCGCAGAGCCATTTCCTCTGCGAACATCTGACATTTGCACTGCATTATGGCCAGCTAGAGTGAAGTAGCGTAGGAATTTCTTGTGCTCCTCAACTCAATCTAGTGGCCATACTGTGGAGGCACACTGGGCATGAGAGGTCACTTTGCCACCATCGGGAAATGGGGCCAAAAGGTTCTTCTGCAGCACCTTCTGTCACAATTCTCAACTTACCTGTATCAATCGCAGGGGTCCTCACACTTGCAGCATGTCAGTACTTGGCACACATGTCAGTGACTTGTGTCCTATAACTTCCCCGCAAGAAAATAGTGAGGCAACCCTTCTGCCACACCTCCTGACATCACTTCCTGTTTGATCACTATAAAGTGGCAAGGTTCAAGCGAGAGAGTACTCAGTTGTTTCAGAGCTATCCACATTGTGTTCCAGTTGCTAGCTGTGTGAGTCCATTACCTGACCGGTGCTTCGTTTATCGAGTTTGATCCTTTGCTGCCTGCCCTGACCTTATGCTTCATTTGACTATGATTATTGGATTTACCCTTTTGTACCACGTATTTGGAATCTGTGCCTGATTTGTTTCCTGAGTACGCTATCCCAAGGTGTGTGCCTGCTATTGGGCTCTGCATATGCAATTACTGACACCTTCTTAAAAGTGGTGCATTTTTTACTACTCCTGGGGTGATTGCAGTGGACCTGTCATTTTCCCCTTGTATTGGTAAAATGTTCCCCTGGAAGCCAGCTCAATTTCCTCCCTATCATCACAGCAAGCAACCCAACCCTCCTTTGCTCACTGCCTGTGCTTCACAATGATGAAATCAGTGGGCAAACAATTGAGCTGAGTCTGAGACAGCAGGTAGTCCTCCTCCTCCTGCTGCTGTGCTTTCAGTGCCCAGTCTGCTGCACCATGCAGTGTGTTCTCTAGGAGGAATCATGTTGCCAATCCCCACCCTATTGTGGCTCACTATTCTAGTGGTGACCTCTTTAAAAACAGACAAGGTGCGGCACTTATCCTGAATCATGAACCACTGATGCAGTTAAAGAACCCAAACTCCTCCGAGCCTGCTCTTGTACCATACTCACACTAATACTCACTGATGACATGCTGGTGCAGCCTTTGCAGCATGGCCAACACTGAGTTTGAGCACATGTGGGTGTCACATATCAGGTTGACAGACAACTTGTGTTTCCATTGCATTTCTGCCACGCTAACACTTGCAGGGTGCGACCACTTAAAGTTCCTCACACTCTTCTTGCCTGATGCAGGACCTCCTGGAAACCAGGGTATTTACTCAGGGAATGCTGCACCACCAGGTTGAGGACATGTGCCAGGCAGGAAACATGTGTTAAATCTCCCTGTTGAAGATTGGCCAGAAGGTTCATGTTGTTTAATGCTGTTCTTAAGATGGCATGGAGTAAGCCACCCCTCTGTCTGGTTTTAGGGAGCTGCTGGAATCTCTTGCCCAGTGTGCCTCCTGTCTCCCAGGCATACCAGTTAGAAAACAGCATGGCAGCATTTTGCCCGGGTCATTGCTTGAGCTCTGGGATGCTTGGGGGGACTCGTGGTCCAGAGCAGTAGGAGGATAGGGCCATTGAAGATGACGGAGTACAGGTAAAAACATGCCCAACACCACCATCTCCAGAGGTATGCCCTGTCTTTAGTTCTAATGAGTGCCATCAGCAAATTTTTTCTTCTGTACAAAATAATGGGGGCTGGCTACCTGCCACTGTGATGTATCACAGGCCATGAACTCACAAAAAGGGGGCAACTCCAGGAGCTGGAATAGGTCAAATGCAGGACATAGGAGTTACTCACAGACATTTTTTGCCATTAGTTGCAGAAAGGCACATCTGTCTGGTCAATGATACTGCTGGAGACAGCAGAATGTGTGTTATAAAAGTATGATGAGGTTCAAGCCTACACTTCACCCTACACCAGCATGATCCTATGCTGACCCTCTTCCCCACTTGACGTGGCCTAAGCCTCTGAAACCCCTTGTGAGACTTCCCTATCACTAGAGGTCACATATGTTGCAGCAGATGGTAATTCTTGTGGGGGAGGGGAGAGAAAATCTTAATGTCTATTGGTATAATTGAGGGGATTCTGCCACCAAGCTTTGTTATGTCTCATCGTGCATATGGTACCCAAATGGCTGGTAGTTTTGCTATGGCTGATAAGCTGCAGGCAGAGGCTGCAGAGCACAAGAGTGCTGTAGGAAGAAGATGTGTTAAACATGGCCCATACTGTGGAGCTGTGTGACCTGGCCCTGGGAATAGCAGTGGCAAATACTTATGTGGGGCAGAGCCATTCTGCTGGAATAGGGAAACTGCTTCTCCCAGTTCTCTTGAGTAGCCTGATAATGCTGGAAAGTGCATTATAGGTCGTTAGTTGCTATGTCAGTGAAATTGCTCATACGTTTGGTGTTTCCATGAAGTGCACAATGGTTTGGTTTGCCACGAGCCCAGCTTGAACCTTATCTCTAAAAAATATGCCTGAAAGCAGTTGGACCATGCCAGCAGCACACCAAACCACCTGTATCTGTGTCTTTGGCCATCCTGTAGTTGTATAATTTGCTGTGCCCCTGGAAGAGTCACACTCTATAATTAGCTCTGTCATCGTAATCTATCTATAGCAACCTCTAGCAGCCTACCTTGGCTTAAGTCAGATATGGATGTGTGTTCAGTGCTTTTTTTTTACACTCCTATTACATATTGCAATATTAATGTTCATTACAACCAGCAGTCAGTAGCAGATGGCAAACATCATCAGAAAAACAGCTGCCTGCTCAATATCAAAACTCTTAAGGTCCCCATATACAGTAGTCACACACAGTAGAAAGGAAATCTGTCATGAAGGTGAATGCCTGTTGCAGAAGCCTCAGAGGATTCAAAAGCAGGTTTAGCCTATTTACAGATTCCTGTTTAGCTAGTCAGCCCATGGTAGCTTATCAGTGCTTGCAGTTAGTGCCTTAGAAACAAAAACACACAGCATGCCTTTTTATAATACAGTTACAAAGGATACCAGACTAAAAATATCTTATTCATTTATTAAACTAGATATAATAAACTATGGTTTAAAAGGTTTACGTGTGTCTGTGTTGTGTCTGTGTTGTGCGTGCATGTGCGCGTGTGTGTGTGGGGGCGGGGGTACGTAATTGAAAGAAATGGGGGTGCTTTTTCTACAAATCATGACTGACAGAAGCCAGAAAATAAGGTTTTCCCCAGATTAGTAAGATAAGAAAACACCTTAACTTACAGGGAAACTTCAAGTACCAGCACTACTCCTTGCAGACTAGACATCACCGTAACTGTTTAGCATGCTTTGAGGACCTGGAACTTCTACCATGGCTTCTTCTTCTGCCTCACACAAATTTTCATCTGAAACACCATAATGCTCTTTAGTGATCCAGTGATAGGATACATTAAGCATTCTCTAAATCCACAAATTAAAATGTACCTAGGGATATTATTCTGAAACTGCACTATCCCCAGGTGAAAGAAAAACTAATGACATTCAGCAAGGTTCTTACCCTACAACCCACAGTCCAATCTTTGCAGATTTGCTGCAACTCACCCTGCACACCTTTTTGCCCAATCGCTTATGCTCTGTATCATCTAAACCTATTTAACTTTATGGCTATTGGGTTATGAATCTCAGTGTTTTTTAATAGAGTTTCAGCAGACAAGGGAGCCTATTATTTCTTAATCCTATAAATGTCTGTGAGGGATATCATTCATCTAGGTCATGGTGTAGCTAGTGGTAGTTAGCCACATTCAACTGGATTTGTTTTATAATGCCGAAGATATTCCCTAGCTTATCCAAGCCCTTCTTCGGTTCTAATGAGTGTCAGGAAAACACCCCAGGAATTTATATCATGACAGGTAGTTGCACAGACACCTAAATCCAATCATCTTGTAAAGGCAGATGTTATTGTTCAAGAACAGAATGGGAGGTGTAAAAGATGAGGAACCACCATGCTCTAGTTAGTGTCAGGAAGGCTGTTTAGGTGGTAATCCTTTGATTTGCATTGCTGAAACTGTGAATTTTAGAGGTGTTAAAATAGCATTATATGTGGAAGACAGATGGTGTTGAAAGTCCCCACCCATGTTCTAGGATGGTTGCTTCAGACATAGATGGCCTCTTTCGGACCTCTTGCAAAACAGTTATTCTTTCAGTCTAGGTTGTTCAAGGATTGTTGTTTCCAGACATAGGTGACCTCTTTCAGACCCCTTGCAAACCAGTTGTTATCTTTGTCTAAAATGTGCACTTCACTGTCCTCAAAAGAATGTTCCATTTCCTTTAGGTGTGTTTCCACTTTTGCAGCCAAATTAGAAGAAAACCTATTTTATCATTGTTACATGTTACGATTCACATAGCCTAAGCTAAATAAAATAAATGTTTCTTGCAGTTTAAATTGCTTTTACTTGGGGTAGGGAAGGACTGTAAGGGGTTAAAAAATTCCAATCCTGGCTTGTCCATTGCATGTTAATGAAGTTAATGGGAGAAAAACAATCCCCAAATTTCAGTCCTAAGTGTCTTTCCATAAGAACAGATCACTGTGAAGCTGCTCAGAAAAACCTGGAATCAGCCATGTAACCTGCTGCAGCCAAACATCTAAAAAGGTAAGAAATATAAAAAGAAAAATTGTTTCAGTATGCTGAGTGAATAGGACCACGTAGCAAATAACATATAGAGGCTTTTTTTATTTGACTGCATAAGTGGAAATACACTTTAAGATGTAGGAAAACTGCCTTGACCTGTAGACTTTGCCCTCCTATTTCGGGTCATTCGTTTGTTGGGAGGTTGTTTTTTTCTCTCCAGGGTACAGGTCTTTGCATTCCTTACTTCACTGCACTGCATATATCAAGTTACTTTATTTGTGTTCGGGTTTTCGTTTTTCTTTTTTAATGCACAAGTTTCTGTGTCAGTGTATTACTGGGCATGGAAGACACAGGGATGCAATGTATGAGTTTTTCTGACACTCCAGCTACATATGGAATGATTAAATCACTCCGTGTGTTCAGCTTCGCCCACCTGTTTTTCAGGGTCCTGGTCCTGTGTTTTTGCTTGACTTTGGGGATGTTTTAATGAAAGCCCAGTCTGAGTAGTCACAACATTTCCTATAAACGTTCTTCAGAATCCTAATATATGAGATCTGAGATAATGGCTATAATAACCTTTCTACACTTAGCTTTCTACACTTAGCTTAGCTTAGCTAAAAACATTTACAGGGTTATTCAAAAAAGGCTGAAGAGTTTGGAGAAGGCAGGAGAAGTGAACAATCTAGAACAACATTACTGAACTGGAAAGTGAGCTGAATTGGAGACTTTTTCCAAATCTGCTATTTTGGCCTTGATTGTTCACTTCTCCTGCCTTCTCCAAACTCTTCACCCTTTTGTGAATAACCCTGTCAGTGTCAGTCTAACACCAAAAAGAATCTCAAAATCCAGGTTCTGCACGTCCCACCTCAGGTAGCCTACAATCCTATATTACCTTATTGAACAATCTAATCTCTTAGCCATTGAACTTCATCATCACCTGAAGTTCACAATTGCATTTCTATACCATAACTTCAGTAATCTGGGTCACCTGGGTCACCTTTACCTACAACAAAGAAGCTGTATATTTTTTTATATAGTTACTAACTAGATGTTTGCTCACTAAATTTGAACACTGTGGCTGGTATCTACATAATTTACTACTGTGTTATCAAAGTAGAACTGTAAATGCCAGGTCCGTATGGCATACTGACCTGGCCAGCTGGAAGCACTTTTGTAGGTCCGTATGCCATACGTCCTTGGCAGCGAAAGGGTTAAAAATAAAAATAAAAAACCTGATTGTATCTACTGGGGATTGCAATCTATGTATTAGCAGCTCAAATGAGTGAAATTACCTTTTCATGGAGCATTATATGGTTTTCCACCAAACTCCAATGGTTTTCCTTGCACCTTTAAGGCCCTTTGTCCCTTTACTTGTGGCCCTATGTTCAGTTATTATAACACTTGGTCAAAAGCTTAACTAACTTTTATTAACCATGTAAGTATTTATTTACTTTATACTGGGTCTGCCACATGGCTAAACATATTCCCAATATAAAATAATACAAATGCCATGAGAGTAAAGGAAATATTTTGTTATTTTAGTACATCCTCTAGGGTCTGTATTCCACTGCATAGATTTGTGTAAAATACAACATAGTACTTAAATTAAAAATGCTATATAATTTATAAACAGGTTAAAGTGTAATATTTAAACTTATAGAGCTTAACTTACACATTAGCTCTTTCTAAGGAACCATATGAAACACTTAAGCAAAGATAACATATACTACATTTACAGCCACCCTCTCACCTGGTTTCTGCATACTTCATCATAAAAATAATGAGTCCAGAGATGATCACAGTGTAGCATAGTTATCCACATAATCAGAATTTTTTAATTGCTATAGTACACTGTGATACTTTCTGATCTGAATTCAGCAGTGAATCTCTGTCTTACTGAGCTAGACAGAAATCCTTACTGACTTAAAAGCCTGTAAGTTATAGAGCCCAATAGCTCAAGTTTAAATTATGCACACAACTAAATAAGCCAGAAGAGTAACTCACCACTCTAATCCATTCCCTCGTCTTGCTGTGTATTAACAGATGACCTAATGCCGTGTGACACAAGTGTCATGGGTACACCCTGTTTTAAATGTTTATTTAAAAAGTAAAAAAAAATCATAAAACATAATTAAAATAATATTGTTGAAAGGTTAAAAAGTTAAATGTTGAGCAGCTACTTGAAGTACCCGCTCTCCCTTTTCAATCATTAGACACAAATAAAAAGTCTACAGACTTAAAAATCTTAAAATCTTTGGAACCAGAGTTTTTTTTCTGCAACTCCCACTTTCTGGAATTCACTACCTGGTTTATTCAGGCATCATTCTCAAATATTTTTAAATACAGGCTACAAACTCACAGGTTCTGCATGGCACACGGGAGCAAATACCTATAATAATTCCTCAGTATAATACATGTTCCTCTTGCCTGTCTATATGGACTATGGGAGAAAAGTGCATCATAACTGTTCAAACTTTCTTAGAGAGAGCAGAGAAAATTTAAAACCCCTTTCAATTTTTTTTGCTCCACTGTGTTCTAGAGGCACAACAGGAAATGAGAGAAAATCTCTCCAAGGTGAATGGAATTCCCATCTTAAAAACTGTCATAGGAACAAGTAACATTTTTACTTATCTCTTGCTTCAATGACAACTCAACATTTTTGGATTTCTCTAGACCCAGCTGCAGCTCTCCCGCTCCTTGCTTCTTCATCACTGCTGTATTGAGAACAAGAGGCAGATATCCAGTGGGGATTACTTAGAGAAAAGCTACAGTTTATGAGCTATCAGTGCTGTGTTACATCTTCTGCTCAGCCAACGTGTACAAGTATTCAGCCACAGAGGGATACTGTATATGCTGGGAGATCCCAGTTTGTGTTAAATCTCAGATACATTCCAGTAAAGGAGTTCAATTATATGTATCTTGATAGCCACATGACTGAACCCTTGTATACAAAGTTTGAGCAGCTACTGCAACCTTCTCCCCAGTAATCCCTGCCAGCTTTCTGTGAAGTGACCTAGAAGCAGGAACTGATCCAGCACAGAGCAGAATCTGACTCTCCCGGAAGTGTTGAATCCCTAAGAAACTTTGAAGGCTTAGAAAAAATAAAATAAAAGATGTTCAGAAGAAGCCATCTGCAGAAATGTGAGAACAGACTATGCTCTACTGTGGCAATTGTTTAAAGCAAAATTGTTTTTAACCCATGCAGTGGGACTACCCCCGCACTGCAAGAGTTCACTGCCCATTTTCATCTATGGACTAAAATAAAAAAGTTACACCTACCCAATCCTTGAAGTCTGCATGCTCTTAGATTGGTCCTTCCAGCCTCACTCCCCCTCGGATGCAGTGGTCTAAGGATCCTCAAGTCATCACGTCAAATACACTGTGTATTGGATGTGAGGATGCCGAGGCACATCACTGCATCACTGCAGCATAGGAGGAGAGGGGATTGAGGGAGTGCTTTGACAGCCAGCTGGCTCAGAGGTTCGAGTAAGTACAACTTTTTTTAATTTCAGTCCCTAGACGAAAACATATTTTGATAATTTATTTAAGATTTATTAATTTTCAAGTAATAACAAATAAACAGAACATAAATCACATAAAGATATTCAAATATTATTAAACAATTATTGAAAAAGGCATAAATGACATGAGGACACTCATGTCAAATAATATAAGAAAAATATTAAGGATATTTTTTTAATATTAATTAATATTAAATACTTTTAATATTAATATTTAAAAGTAAATGAAAATAATTTGGATTGAATTGCAAGGGCTAATAACAATTTTGTCTGATTAAAATGAGATCTCATTCTGGTGACAGGCCCTTTTTTTGTAGTGCTTTAGAGTTTACATATATATGTCTAAATCTATTTCTTCAACTACTTTTATATTGCAGGCACTGGAGCTTACATCACGGAGGGAGATCATACTGCCAGATGTTCCTGAGCAAATACTCCATATAGTTGGAAGCTGCATTCTTATTATTGGCTCAGTTGGTGTGGTTGGAAACCTGCTTGTCCTCTATGCGTTCTATAGGTACTTCAGAACATTATTACAGTAATGTGAAAGAGATCAGCTTGATGTAAACAATTCAATCAATGTGCATTAATGAAGTAAAAATACCGTATCTGTGTATAGTATATAATAATCTATGCTAAATGAAACAGCTTTTTAATCCTCTTACCTCCCTGTTAAATTAAAACGGTATACTCTGCACTAATGTTCAGTATCCAGAGACCATGTGATATCCAGGGAAAATGGGATGTATGTCACCTAGTAGTGATGTATATCATTGCCGGGAACAGTATTTTTTCACAGCAAAAAGAGGTACTCTTTTACTTAAAATTATAATATAATGTGTAATTATAATGTGAATTAATAGCTTCAATAAAATGTTACCTAGTGAAATCAACTAGGGTTGCTGTTTTTCCATTCATTTTTTTGTATCCTCCAGTCTTCTTCCATTTCCTTAATGATCTGTAGCTAATTAGGCAATATGTCACAAACATAAATAAAATAAATAAATTAAAGCTGGAAAAAGGTAATGAAAAATAAATCATTTGCCAAGAGGAGTAGGTCTATGTGTTATTTACCCTTGCAGTGCGGGGGAAGCCCCACTGCTCGTTTATGTCTAGGTGCTAAAAAAAAGGTAGACTCACCCGATAATTCGGGTCGGCTTGTTCTTACACCAGTCCCTGGAACCTCTCTCCCCCTCCTCTGCAGTGGTCTAAGAGCCCTTCTATACAAGTGTATAGACATGAGGTTGCTGAGGAACATTCCATCTATGCAGCGAAAGAAGCAACAGTCTTCTGTGACTGGAGAAGCAGGGAGTTTGCTCAGCAGTTTGGGTGAGTATAACTTTTTTTAACATCTAGACAAAATCAAGCAATTAACCCTTGGGGACAGGGGTAGCCCCACTGCAAGTGTTCATAAAATATTTATTTCCCCAGAGTTCTTCTTTAAAGCTTTAGACACAAAACTGGTAGCCACCACCATGGGTTTCAAAGAAACGCACATGCAGCTAAATGTAACAATAGAGTAGCTATCTTCAAAGAGGCAATACATTCTTTAATTTTGGCTTAGAGCATTTAGAGATTCAGCTTAATAATTTTAAAATATTGTTTTAATGAAAAGAAAAACTGCATGAAAATATACAGAAAAGATACTACAAAACAGACAGTAAGCATCAGCAAAATAAACAGGATTAAAAGTGAAAAGTACTTTTGGTCTTTGGTTCTGTGCAGATTCTAATTTGCTTGGAATGTAAGTCCAATCTGGCGTAAGTCATGGACTCTCAGGAATGATCCTTAGCATTTCTTTATAGTTTCAATGGTAAGGGAGAGCTGCTGATCTGTGGAAACAGACATCTCTTCTGGCTCTGAAGAGGATGTTCACAGAATCAACATAACCAGTTCAAGGGTCTGAGGGGTGTGATGAAGGGGTTTGAAGTGTTTATGATGTTCAGCAGACACACACTCAATGCCAATTTTTCTAAATGCATCTATATTTTCATCTGACAAGGTTTTGCAATCTGACAACCAACACATTATGGCACAACTTGAAATCACTGCTTGACTGATAATGAATATGATACAAATCCTAATATATTCTGTTAGCCTTGTGATATAGGCATGTTAACTGATTGTTGTTTTCTTATACATTAGTGTAACCACTGTAATATTCAGGGCAGATATGACCCATAGCCAGCTGTATCAGCAAATAAACTTTTATTCTTATCCAAAAACAGTCAAATAAAAACGGCTTATATTCAGCACATACCAAATTTGGCTCAGCGCCTGTATGCTAAGTCAAACCTCAGGGTTACTGTCCCAGCCTCAGGGTTAGAGTCCCAGCCTCCAGGTTAGGGTATGGACACAAATGCCCAGCAGTGTCTCGGTAGACTGTATTCCACAGCTTAACATGCATAGCCATGTCCTGCTCCAAACACTTCCCACAGTCACCGACTGACTGGCTTCCTGTTCTGTTTTAACACACCCTCTGGCTGGTGGGTTAACCCTTTCGTTACCAGAACTGGCTGTAGTCAGGGATGGAGGCTCTGTCCCACCCAAAATCTTTCTGAGCCTCCGGATTCCGGGACCCATTTATATTTAGCAACTCCGGGATGCCTGCCTAGCAGTTTCCCTTACAATGGGATTTTCATGTTTGAGCGTTTTGTAGAGCGTTCGTAGAGCGTTGAACGCGCGGCAAAACGTACAGGTGTGAACCAGGCCTTAAGCTACTCATAGCTGGTTTTGAGTTTAGCTTAAACATTTCATCAGGAGGAAAAGGTTTTTGGTGCATTCCACAATTTCAGAATACTGGAAAAAAAACATGTTATTATATATTAATACATTATTACTGCCTCTCTTCCTCTCTGGCATGGTCAGTAACGGATCACACAGTAATAGGATTTGCTAACACTTTGTGAACTGCCAGTATGGAGGGGCAGGCTGAGATTCCCCACAGTGTGGGCCTGTTGTTGTTAGCTAGTCTCACTATGTTATTCCAATTCTGCTAATGATAGCTTAAAGAAGAATGCACATGAGAAATAAAAAATGAGATATTTGTATATTGATTCATGTAGATATATCCAACATTGCTTGTACAAAGAAACATTGAAGGATTCTGCAAAAAAAACCCTTATCCTACAGAGCAGTGTGGTTGCGTGTTGGAGGGAGGAGGGTGTGCTGTCGACTACACTAGTTCAGAATACAAGGTGCCTAATAAAATGGGACAAAGTGCTACAAGAACTTTGGCTTTTGGGGGACAGGATGAAGAGAAGAAATATGGTGAGATTACTTCTTTAATCTCTCATGTAGTGCTTAGTGAGC